ACTCATTTTCATGATATTGATATTTTGGATGACAGTGATATTGCCTAATTTTGAATGTGTTGGTGTGTGTGTTTGTGTGCGCGTGTGTGTGTGCGCGCGTGTGTGTGTATGTGATATTATTAGTACAAAATTAATTATACTTGCCATAATATTATACCTTATAATATTATAAAGTATAATTCATTTTATACTAATAATAATATTAATATATTATTATTAAAAGTAAAATCCCCCTTTCTGCATTTTCACCCAAACAATAGAAATGAAAAAATGAAAAAAGAAAACTGATTAATACTAAATACTAATCAGTGAAAAAAGAAAAATAAAAAAAGATTCATAATTCACTCATTAATACTATTAATGATAGCCGTAAAAACAAAATAATAATAAAATAAAAAAGGAAAAATGGGGAAGGAAATAGAATTTACTTAATAATAAGGTACCAGTAAAAAATGAAAATCCTATCAAAAATTACTAATTAATAATAATAACGATTTGGATTAACTAAATAATAATAATAATAATAATAATAATAATAATAATAATAATAATAATAATAATAATAAGGATCAGGAATTAAAGCCGCCATAATGTTCAGGAAAATCTTACCAAAAATTACTAATTAATAATTCTAAGATTATGGAATTAATTTAATAATAATAATAACAATAATAATAATAATAATAATAATAATAATAATAATAATAATAATAATAATAATAATAATAATAATAATAATCCAAAATTCAAGTAGCCATAAGGTTTATAAAAATTCTACAAAAAATTACTAATTAATAATACTAAGATTCTGGAATTAACTTAATAATAATAAGGATTCGGAATTTAAGCAGTCATAATGTTCAAAAAAAATTTACTAATTAATGTACTGGATATGAAGATTAGGAATATTGTGCAAAAAAATGGCAAAGAATCGGTAATTCATAATTTTGAATAAAATTGTAGGTCGTTATTTTAGTATTAAAATTTCACTATAAATATTCTTAAAAGCAAAGAACAATTCTACCATTGAATATTTTCTATTCTTCTCTGGTATTTCTGGATTTTCTGCTATTTCTCCTTATTATTTAGTAGTAGACTCTGATTTCATCTATGCCTCCGACCTATCCCCCTGGACGAGGAAAAGCTCTATAAGGCTCCGGTTGATGCGTTCTTATTTTTTCAAGGAATATCAACGCTCAGCGTCAACGTCTCATGCAGAATCCAGGTATATCGATCTCCAATCTATTTATTTTACTTTGTTATTTGCTTGTCATTATCTCTAAATAAACCAATTTGTTGTTTTTTTGTTTTGTTTCTTTTTTTTTTTTTTGCCTTTTAAGTGTTGATGTTATCGGATTCAGATAAGAAACAGTTCACTCTAGTGGAGTGGGAGAAGTTGATATGTTTGTGGGGGAAGAGCCTGAGGGACTTACCAGAAATGCCAATTTCATACAAAAGTAGCATCGATTTGGGTGAAAACATGTTGATAGTCGAAGAGTTGGCGTATGACAAGGAATCGTTGAACATAGAGCATGAAACGTTGGTAACACAATTGATCGACGAACAAAAGAATGTTTACAACTCTATGATGAATGATATTGATTCCAATGGAGGTGGATTGTTCTTTGTGTATGTTACAGAGGAACAAGCAAGACGTTCGTGTGGAGAACGTTATCGTCAACGATAAGGAGCTGCGGTGATATTGTTCTGAACGTTGCTTCGAGTGGAATAGCATCTTTACTCTTGCTGGGAGGTATGACAGCGCATTCTAGATTTGCTATAACACTCTCTTTGAACGAATATTCTATGTGCAATATATCGCAGGCAGTGATCTTGCTAAGCTTATAATAAGGAGCAAATTGATAATATGGAATGAAGAACTGATGACGCACAAACACTGTTTTGAGGATTTGGACAAAACCATGAGGGATCTATTGAGGTTCGTCATACCGGGTAGTGTTGAATAGACTTTTGGTGAAAAGACAATAGTTTTGGACGTGGATTTTTGACAGATCCTACCTGTTATTCCGAAAGCAACGAGACCAATACTTGTAAGAGCCACTATTAATTATTCGTACCTCTAGACAAATTGCAAGGTATTAAGGCTCACCAAGAACTTAAGACTACAGAGCTTAGCTTCAGAGGAAGATAGACAAACGGTTAATTGGTTTTCAAAATGGATTGCATAAATCGGAGATGGGCTTGCAGGGGTTTTAAACAACGGTTTATCGGAGATCGATATTCCAGCATGGCTTTTGTTGAAGTGTAGACATGATCCCATAGCAACTATAGTAGAAAGCACATTCTCAAGCTCGAGATATAGCATGCTTGATGAGTCGCAGTTGGAAGGCCGAGCGATCCTCTCGCGGACTTTAGATGTCGTTGATCAAATTAATCAGTACATGTGCGACATGAATACTGCAGAAGGACGAACATATTTAAGTTGTGACTCTTTGCGTAAGGCAGAATCAGACGGTGAAAATCTATCAGAAGTATACACTCCTGAATTCGTAAATAGTTTGAGATTGTCTGGTCTTCTTAATCATTCATTAACATTAAAGGTCGGTGCACCTGTTATGTTATTGCGAAACATAGACCACCCTCTTGGTCTTTGTAAAGGTACGCGGCTCATCATCACAAGATTGGCAAATCACATTGTCAAACCAAGAATAGTTAATGGGACACATGAAGGAACCAAAGTTCTTATCCCTCGAATGTCTCTCACTCCTTTTGATACGAGATTGCCCTTCAAGTTCTAGCATAAACAATTCTCATTGATGCTTGCATATGCCAGGAGTATCAACAAAAGCCAAGGCCAAACACTAACTCATGTTGGGTTATTGCTGAAAAAACTGGTCTTTAATCACGGCCAATTATACATGGCTTTCACCCGAGTCACCTATCCTAATGGCCTAAGGTGTTAGCTCTAGACGAGGATGAACAAAATTGTGTATCTACTACCAATGTTGAATTGAATACAAAGAGGTTTTCAATAATGTGTAAATACAACCAGTGATATTATGGTTTTTTTTTTTCAAGATGGCAAAATTGCTATATATCTACAGAAAAAATATATCTTCCATACAAATGAATTAGGATAGCAATTGATTCTTATAATTGAGTTACTAGAGAATGAGCATATTTTCTCAATTTATAAAAATCCTAAACATTGATATATAAAACCTCCAAAGTTTTAGCACCGGATGTGTACATCTACACATTAGCTATTAATTCAACAATTATTGCTCGAATTCAGGCAAGGATAGCATCAAAAAACATAATCAATCCAAACCATTTCATCAATTGCACTATATAATATTTGATGTTATAATTTATATAATTATATATCGATCTAAATATTCTTAAAATGTAATAACAAATCCATTCCGTGCATAGCACGGGTGAAAATACTAGTTATTATTATTAAGTTAATTCCTTATCCTTATTATTATTAAATAGTAATTTTTGGAAGGATTTTCCTTTTTAACTGATATCTTTATTATGACCTTTTTTTTGCACAATCATCCGTTTCCTTTTCCATTTTCAATGTGTGTGTGTGTGTGTGTGTGTGAGAGAGAGAGAGAGAGAGAGAGAGAGAGAACCTCAGCTTATCCAACTCTTATCACTATTCCATTAATACAAAGAGAACCTTCAAGCCTTGAACACCAAGCCGCCCTTGAACTTCTCTGGTTTTTCAACTCAACACCAAGTTTACTCCAGTCTCTTTTTACTTCTACCGAGAGATATAAGAGTTTGAAGATATAAATTCTTCAATCTCCAACTGAGAGAACTTGGTTTCTTGAATTTGAATATTGAACTCTTGTTGAGCAGCACAAGTCTCTTAAATCTGGATTTAGCTCTTAAGCTTTTGTCTCTCTCACTGGTCACACTTGAATATTACTTAGAATGCTTTGAACGTTTGTTAATTTCTCTTGAATGGACCAGCACATTCTTAAGTCTTGAATGAAGGTATTTATAGGCATTTTGAAGAGGATCTGTTGGTGGGAAACTTATTTCAAACGTTTATTACTCAACAGGTAGTGACCAGTGAATTTTGCGGAAAATAGCTTTATCCGTAAGACTTTCTAGCCATTAGACCACTTAATTTTCACTAAACATATCATTTTGTTTTGCACAAATGTCTAGGCTTTTGAGAAAAATCTTCCTTGGGATGTATAGCTAGGAATCTCTTTGCTTTGGACACATTTTACCATAAAGCACTAGTGTTTTAAGGTTTCAAACTGTTAGCACAGAGAATGTCTTGAGCAGTTCTTTTCGAGTGGTTAACTTTCACCATTCGAGTTAACATTTCGAACCTTAATACTTTGCTACCTTTCGGTTATGAATGGTTGTGATTACCATTCGTTCCTTCTTACACCTCTTTTTACTCGAAAGATAGGCCAGTCCACCATTCGGCATTTGCAACCTTTCTGTTTTGAAATCTTCTACTCTTTGTCTCGTCGACTAGAACTCTCTTGATCTTCCATTCTTCGAAGTCTTCTCTTGGTTGTCTGAAACGTAACCATTTGATTCAATATTCGGAGTATTTCGAATTTGGGAATAGAGTTCCTATATATGTCTAAAAGATAAAACAAATTGGGGACTATGTGGTCTAATGGTACCTGGGTTGGATGGGTTGGACTTTTATTTAAAAGGTTGTGAATTCGATCCTTAATGCAGGCGTTAGGTTGAGAAAGTATAATGAACAATTTCAAAATAAGCTATTATTAGTTTTAATCGTCGATAGAAAAGTTGTTGCTTTTTTAATTTTAAATTTTTTAAATAATAAGAAGTTACAACAAGCTATTTTTTTTTAAAGTCCAATAAGCTAATTAATCAAACATTTATATAAATTGTTTAGCTAATTCAAACAGCTAATAATGATCAAATAGATCAAAATTTATTAATAAGCTAACTATATTACCAACCACGGTGATTATATTGCATGGACGTACAAAGTTAGGGGAAATATTAAATTAGCTTAGGCTAGCACCACATGTGTATCAGTGTATATTATAAGAAGGCCCAAAGGTGGTTTCTCCAACCTCTTTGTTTAGACTTCACTTCTTCTTCTCCAATCTCCCTCTGCAATCATCTGCGTATAGTATCGATGATGTAGCCACCAAGATGGGGAGGAGAAAAGATCACAGAGCCACCAAATCCCAAACCCTTCCCTCATCTCCGACCCACTCCTCATCCTCCTCCGACTTCGAGTTCACCGTCGCCCTCACCCCTCGCGGGGCCGCCAACTCTTCTTCTTCTTCTTATTCCTCCGCCGCCCTCTGCCCCGCCGACGAACTCTTCTACAAGGGTCAGCTCCTCCCCCTCCACCTCTCCCCCCGCCTCTCGATGGTCCGCACGCTCCTACTGGCTTCCTCCTCCACTTCCTCCTCCTCCGACACCACCACCACCGCCTCCCGCGACTCCACCGGCAGCAGCTCCAACGACTCCCGCTCCTCCTTCTCCGCCGCCGACCTCCTCCTCCTCCCCCCTGACTGCGACTCCTCCCGCCCCTCCTCCGCCGCCGAAGAAACCGATTTCTCCGCCTCCGCCGCCAAGAAAACCTCCAAGTACCACTTCTCCCTCTCCAGATTCTCTTCCGTTTTTCGGAAGCCCCGCCACCCGGATCCTCCCCACCCCACCACCGGATCCGTACAACCCACCCCCTCCCCCGTAAAACGCCTGAGCAAAACCGCCAGAGAAGTCATCGGAAAGTACCTCAAAAAAGTCAAGCCCTTATACGAAAAGCTCTCCCAAAACCAAAAGCCGCCGCCCCCGCCGCCCCAACACAAAACCAAATCTCCCCCCGAACCGAAAGAAACCGCCGTGATCTCCCATTCGTTTTCGGGGAATTTAAGGTACCCGAGGAGGAAGAGCTGCGTGTCGAGCTGCCCGTCGTCGATGCGGTCGTCCCCCAGCCACTCCGGCGTGCTTTGCCGGGCCGGGTTCACCCCGCCGCCGCCGCCGGTGACTAAGTCGGCGTACCCGTCGGACATGTCGTCAATGGAGGAGCTGCAGAGCGCAATACAAGGCGCCATCGCGCATTGCAAGAACTCCATGCTTCAGCCTCCCACAACTACCGCTACTAGCAGCAACAAGAATATCGTGGTCAGTAATGAGATTTGACAAGACTTCAGGGGTGTTAGTAGTAAATAAATTTTTTTCAAATTAATCAAGTTTTTTTTTTTTTTTTTTTTTTTTTCCTTACGGGTGCAATCGAATCGAATCAATTAAGAGTTACTCAAACTCAGATCAAATTTGAGTTTTTTCTATAAGTAAATCGATTCTCTTACACCCGTATGGAATTGTGTTGTTTAATTAGGTGTTGGATCTGCAGTAAAAATTTACTATGTAACACTTACTATTGACTGATCTCTGATGATATTAACTTGTTTTTGGATTAATGATTTTTATTTTTACTTTTTGTATTTTTTTTGAATGAATGGATCTTGATCTCTGATGTTTATTTTTCACGTTGCATGTGAGGTTATTATGGATCACTCATTTGGAATTGAACTTTTATATTTTGTTTTATTGCATTGGTAATTGGACTGTCTTGGAATCTAAACCCAATCCTATTTGAGTATTTGGCTTCTCACATTTTTACTGTCTTGGACAACACTTTGTACTTCTTAAATGTTCCTACTTACATATCATATAATTAATGGGTTTTATGGATTGGTTGAACTATCAATTTTTAATATTGGAATTAAGTATAAGTGTCACTACGTTCTTAGTTCAATGGTTTAGTATGTAATATAGGTAGATTTGAACCTCAGCGGTAACAATAAGATATTTTATGCATACTAGTATTTGGCCCTTGTCAGTTGATTCATTAGTGAGCAGATCTTTTGTGCGCATCAGCATTTGATCCTTATCGGCTGATCCATTAGGGATTATGTTCAAATTGAGCAGTTCCTTTGTGCGCACCGACATTTGATCCTGTCGGCTGATCCATTAGGGATTATGTTCAAAGTGAGCAGATCCTTTGTGCGCACTGACATTTGGTCCTGTCGGTGGATTTATTGAGTCAACATGATTTATATCCTCTCAAATGTTTTTTCGGGCTGGAATTCAACATTGTGAGAGAAGGAATTAAGTATAGGTATTTTGAGTCGAATTGATTGATTGCACGCACCGTTTTTATTACCTAATCACCAACATTTACCTAATATTCTTTTCTACCTAATTGATGTTATTGACATGACAATTTGGAATTTGGTAATTTACTGAACTAAAATTATGTTGTACACTATCAATCAATCTGATTTACCATATGAATTAAAACGGAAACGTACCATAATTGCGACATATGCGTGCAAGATTGGGCGATCAAAATTTTCCAAAGTTGAATGAAGAGCCGACAATGACGGCTGCCTTACTTGTGTACTCACTACTCACCATATTGATAGACATCAAAAATGGAGGTCACATTGTGTACTCACACAATGACTTAAACACATGCTTTTTTTGCCGCATGATATTATTGGTTCAATATCTATTACCAACATTGTGGAACAGAGATAAGTTCATGTGGTCTAGAATAAAATTTTACATATATCCAAACTAATTTTACCCGAACCGAATATATAGATGTTCACCCCTACCAATCGTTATATCGTGTGCATCAGGGCGCACATAGCACTGTGCGGGGGCCTCCCAAAACGACGTCGTTTTGTTAAGTTGTTAAAAAAAATATTTTATTTTGAATGCACCTAAACTCATAACAGAATACACATAAATTTTTAATTGAATACACATAAATTTTTAATTGAATACACATAATGAGGTTTGGTCTGTTCGGATGAACAAAGTGATGTCAGTATGAAACGCGCGCGTTTTGTGCCTGGACGCACATTGCTATGTGCGCCGTGGTGCATGATATAAATTGCCCACTGAGGTTGCATTTACAGAGGTTTTTTTTTTTTTTTTTTTTTTTTTTTTTACTCTATTACAATGTAGTATCTGTTCATAACTATTTTCTCAAATTATTAAAACACAAAAAGTTAATGCCGCCTCCACTAAGACTTAAACCCACGACTATTCATGTGAAAGTGCAACCATAGTGTCATTAAACCATAAGATCTTGACGCCTTTATAGAGTTTAAAATATAGTATATCGATAATCTTGAAGCTAGACTCTCTTTAATTTAAAGGCGAGTTTATAAAATACACGATATAATCACTAATTTAACATGTAATTTCCAAAATTTGGTTGGAGTGAAAAAACTTTTTTGTGGGTTGATTTAGAAAATGGTGTGAAAGATGATTTGTTGCGAGTGCCCGAGAATCTTCCATGTGCCGCTTCTATTGGGATTTAATTGTACTCTCACCCTTTTCTGGCTCACATTTATTATAGGAAGCAACCTTGCATTTTCTTTGGATTATTTTAAATTATTATTTGGTCTTCCCTTACCCAATTTTCTTTGGATTTTAAATTATCATTACCAACATAATAATAATAATAATAATAATTATTATTATTATTATTATTATTATTATTATTTATTTCACTTTGCATTCTTTGATTGATGCATTATTTTTTATTTATATGGTTTTTTTTTGGCTTTTAGTGTTTGGTTGTTAAAAAAATGTTTTACTTGTAATCGTTGGACTTAAAATTTTGTTTAACTTTTAGTTTAAAAATGTCTAAAGTACGTATCACTTTATGAAATTTTTTTATCAAACTTTATTTATTGCATGGGAGGACAGTTTTGACATTTTTAATTAAAAGTGGAATGAAGTGTTGAGCACCAAAAATAGAGAGTTAATTCTACATTTATTTATTGAATATAATTATATTTTAAAATTGGAAGACCGGGGGGGGGGGGGGGGGGGGGGTGGTGGCGACACTTAAGTCCCAAACTAGTGGCACCATAAAGGAACTCTTCAAAATCTAGACATCCTGAGTGGTCCTCCATCAGCACTTGCAAAACACCCATGTCTTTCCAACTGCTTCTTTGTTAATTACATTCTTAAATTTAGTTCTTAGCTAATAATTCCATTGTATTTTGTCATTGACATTGATGATAACTCCAAATTTAGTTCTTCATTGCCAATTATGTCTATTTTTATGAAAAGAAAGAGCACCAAAAAATTTAACCGTAATTGTTTATAATCATATGACGTGGTAATAAAACTCTGTTTATTCCTTGATTCCTAAGAATTGAACATCCAACCTGCATTTAAAAAGAAATCTATTTATATTATCACATCGAAGGTAAAGAATCACTATTGGAAATTATGAAATTTCCAACTACCTGAAAGTTATCTTAGGGTCCGTTTGGAAGGCAGGAAAATGACTTCTAGAAAATGAGTCATTTTTCAGAAGTCATTTTCCTTTCCTGTGTTTGGCTGAACAATGGAAAACCGTCTTTTGGTGTTTGGTTCATTTTCCAGAAAATGATGAAAAACTGTCTTTCAATTAAGGAATTAAATCTCTATCATATGCCAATCCTACAAATTTTAGGAAACGTACATCCGATCCGATCCGTTTTGCATCAACTTAAACCGAATTTACTATTCCAGTAAACATGTGCTCAAAACATTTTCCAGTACATGAATCACAGAACAAAGAACAATCATTCCTAATAAGCTGCTTTTGACAAATAATCTTATCCTTTGATTATGACAGAGCATTATGGAGTTAATTTAGTGTGAGGAACTCACTTGTATCATTAGAAGCGCTAAAGGAAGCGAAAGGCTTTGACGAGCGGCGAGAGGTCGCAGGCAGCAGTGATACACGGCCTGCGCGGGCGAAGGCTGAGGGAGAAGGGTTGCGAAATGCGCAGACGTCGGAGGGGCGCAAGGAGGCCATTGATTTTTCCGCTTCTGAAGAAGAAGTGAAGACTTGGAAAACGACTTCCCCAAAAATAAAGGGGAAGTCATTTTTCGAAAAATTGCCTTCATTTTTCATTGACTTCTCCTCATTTTCCTTTGACCAGTCATTTTCAGGTGGTCGAAAATTCCATAATTTCTAGTAGTGAATTTTGGCAATAGTTATATCATGGGATATGGTTCACGTAATAATGTGAACCAAGTTATTTGTAATTTTTCTCTTTCAATTATTTAACTTAAATTTAATTCAATTTTTATATATATAAAAAATTAAATTAATTTTTTTTTTCTTTCTGTATAAATAAAATTAATATATAAAAAATCATTAAAAAGTTTAAATTGAGATCTTTTAAATGATGTCCATATTGATTTTTTTTTTTTAATTTTTAAATAAATCTATAGGAACATATAGCCACTACTATAAGTTCATAAATCACTAAATTACTAAAAGTTCATAAAATAATTACTACAAATTTATAAAGTTACCTTTGCAGGTCTATAAAGTTACTATTCCAAGTCCATAAAATCATTGTTGTAGGTTCATAAAGTTACTATTGTAAGTTTATAAAGTCATTACTTTAGGAATGAAATTATTATTGTAGGTTCATAAAGTCACTATTCAAGATTCATAAAATTGCTACTATATATAATATATTCATAAAATCAGCATTATAAGTTTATCATACAATTATTGAAATGATATATTAAAAAAATTAATATAAGTGTCATTTTAAAAATTTCAACGAAATATTTTTAACCATATATTTTTATATATTAATTAATTTATATAAAAAGAAATAAAAATAATATATTTAAATAATAGATTGATCAATGCTATTTTTATGAACCTACCATATTATTTTAGTGTACCAGAGTCGATGATGTAATATGGACCAATTTCATATATATTTTGCTGAATTCTTGTGAAAATTTTTTACACATATAGTTTGTTCCTTTGTGAAATCTAATTACTACAACTAAATAAATATCTTTACAATGGTAAAATCGTTAAATTAATGTTTGCCAATTACCCTTAAATTTTACTAAGATAAGGCCTACCTGGTAACAGATGATTAAATATGTAATTTTTTTAATTAAGCGCCCCGTTTAGAAATTTGAAAAATGTTATTCAGAAAATGATTTCTAAAAAATAATTTATTTTTCTGAAAATAATTTTATTTTCTAACGTTTAACTGAATGCTAGAAAACTATCTTTTTCTGTTTGGCTGAAATTAAGAAATTTTATTTTTTTGGGTTCATTTTCTTAAAAATGAACATATTATTTGTTACTACGTATATAATAATAATAAGCGAAAAGGGCCAAATAGGCCCTTCGACTTTACACAAAAGTGCAATTAGGGTCATAGACTTTTTAATAGTGCAATTAAGCTCATAAACAAGCTATTTTTGTACATTGAAACACCGAAATTAGTATTTGACCTACAATAGCTGGTCACTCAACTCAGACATCGCTTTGGCGACCATCAACGGTCACCGGTTGTCTTCTTCAACAAAGAAAGCGACCAATTGGTTGCCTTGTCCAGGCAACCAAATGGCCGGAGAGGGCGTCCAGTGGTCGCCTTCTTCAAAGAACGCGACTAGTGATCAACGGTCTATTGACGG